CATACTTTCCATTCTTCTTTGCTTGATTAGTACTTGTAAATTGAATAAGGATATACCATATTACATCACTCAAATCATTAATGAAAACACTAGCCAGTTGCAGAACACATTTCAACAGAACCCCACTTGATAGATGGTCACTTGTGCAACAGCGAGCAACAGATAATGACTTTTGAGAAACAGTTTCCTCAGAACATTTGCTTCCACTGTACAACATTTTCATCTGTATTGTACTGCTGATCTTGCTACCATGGCATATTTAAATCAAACTATGTGACAGTCATTGATTTCTCTAATTCAAAGACCTGTTATACTGCCAAGGAAGAAAATGCTGTTGGTTAAACAGGATTCACGTAGCCAACTATTTAAGTACGCCTGGTCATTCCAGGCAGGAGGTACTACTTAATGGCAGCTTTATACTCTAGACTCCTGCAAATAGTTTATTTGTTATCATATGCTAATGGACTTACCAGTGCTGAGTACAGGGGGATGATCACCTTCCTGATCCTGCTTGCTATACCATTTCAGACACAAAACAGGATGCCACTGACCTTCTTGGCCACCTAGGCGCACCACTGGTTCATGTTTAGCTGAGAGTTGACTAACACCCCCAGATCCATTTCCTCCACAGTCATTCAGCCACTGCCCCAAGCCTGTAGCACTGCCTCGGGTTGTTGTGGCCATAAGTGCAGAACCTGGCACTTGGCCTTGTTGAACCTCATTCCATAGGCCTCAGCCCAGGGATCCAGCTTATCCCTCTGTAGGGCCTCCCTACCCTCAGGCAGATCGACACTACCTCCCAACTTGGTGTGATCTGCAGAATCACTGAGGGTACACTCAATCCTCCTGTCCATGTCATCAATAAATATATTAAGACATATCAGCCATATCCAGGCTTTTTCCAGTTTAAGTAGTACCATGACACACTTCTTATTTACCTTTGGTGCTTTTTTTCTAACCTTCACAGCCAAATTGTCATGTTTCTGTGGATGTCACTGGTTCTGGGATGTACTTCAGAAGACAGGTACCATTACCACAGTATGCCAGCTACAAAAAAAGCTCTCCAGACATAGCCAAATGACTCATTTCAAACTGTTACATTCATCTTCTAACCAATTTAAATCTTCTCTATCCACCCTACACTTCCTTAAAAAAAAATTATAAAAAAAAAAAGGCTCTATTTCTTTGCATTTCCATCAAGTCTTCTGTTGTTATTAAGACTAAGTGCCAAGCTTTGTTAGAGTCTTAAACAGGTCATGATATGGATCTGGTGCTTTTTCAATTTTAGCTAGACTTTCATATCTGGTAATATTTTGCCTTCTCTGTACCTTTCTTTGTCTTTAAATTGAGGACAGTGTCCCACTTTCTCTCATCTTTGAAGATATGTGGAAGTATTGTCCTGGAGCCCCTTCTATACTGTAGACACTCCAGAAAATATATCAGAAGATCCTTTCCCCTTTATGTTACAACTGCACAGCTTAGTCATGGACTAAATCTGAGTTTAGAAAACAGCAAAATAATGGTTGCTGTGAGAGTCTGTCTCCAAGACTTACAAGCTCACAAGGTCATTCAAGCAAATAAATTCAGTTGCTGTAAACTAAGTTACAATACAATTATACATACAGACTAGGAGTTTATTATAATTTGAAGAAGCCTAGGCATTTGTATGAATAATGACGACATCAGTCACAATTATTTAGCAAACAGAACATATAAATCCTTTATTGTCCAGCTCTGTAAATCACAGATGGAATTAACAACCTGTCCACAGTGAGGGCAGCCATTCACTGCCAACTACAGATATTTAATCTTCAATTTATCAGTGTCTGACAACTGTCAGACAGTGATTTCTGCATATGGAGATAGAAGAGCAGATATTTTAATACCTATAGCATTTCTTTTCTGAAAGAGAACTATCCGAAGTGTACCATGTTCTCTTCACATTGTACTGTTCAAGCTTGCTTAGAAACATTTTCTTCTCACTTTATAAAATACCTGTATTAAAGTATCACAAACAAGCATAGCCAAGGCACCTATTCCATGACATTAGCCACTGTGTGACTCAGGAACATGCCTCTTGCTCTACCCGTCCAAATGCTGCTCCAGATATACAAATGAATTTGTACACTCAGATATAAAATGCTTGTATAATATGAAGAAGAATGAACTGGAGAGCCAGCTAATAGACTGTTCATTGAACTGCCACAACTCTGTTTCTGATTTGACAGAGAACGCAAAGAAGCGTGTTAGGAGGTGGATGAGCTGCAGAAGAAAGTTTACATACAGGTATTTCAGAAACAAACCATTTAATCTCTAAAAATGACATACAGAACTCAGTTTTTCTTCTTACTGTGTCAAAGTGGGAAGTTAATTGCAAGCAAAGAAAAACCTAACATGGAGGAATTTCAGGTCTGCTTTAGCTTTAAGTAGAGATCTCAGTGAAAATATTACCAGAAGTTTCCAGAGTGAAGTTCCTCGTATCACCTACTGTTCTGCAGGCTACTAGCAACTTCAAGTACCCAGCAAGAGAAAAGCTTTCTCAGTAAAAGCTAGAGTTCCCTGCAGTTCCTCTTATTAACCCCCACTGCAATCTAATTCTACAACTCTACGTTTTCATCCATCTTTTCCCATTACTGCAAAGTAAACTTCAAGACACAGCCAAGTACAAACTATAAGTGAACTAACAAGCTAACAGATTTGTGGAGGAAATACATGTCATATGCATATATTTAAATGGATATTTGTACATGTTCACCTCCCCCCATACATACAGAGTGTATCTGTATGTAAAGATAAATGTCCAGTTGTGCCAAGAATCCACTGAGAATAATATATAAGCAAATGGTTTAATCAGACTGCAGAAAATGCAAAGCTTTCATTGTGAAAGCATGGTGCTGCTGAGTTCACCAAGCAGAAATTGCATTTGCTCCACAAGTACAACAGAAGCGTAAAAAGCAATGGGAAGAACATTTCCCTAAATAGCGACCGAAAGGGAAATTCAGAAACGTTTGGCTGAAAACACAGATTAGTGTTAATGCTGGCCCTGATCCCCAGCTCAAAAGCAAGCCTCCATGACACAGAGCTCCCTAACCAAGACCAGGCTTTAACAGAGCCCACGTCTACTACCTGCTTGCTATCATCAGATGTTGCAGCATTCCCTAATACTGCACAAAGCTTTTGTATCTCATGTCCCAACAACTGGAGCCCAGTGCCTGTTTGCTGCACTTCCCACTCTCCCAGTGCCACACAGCACTATCTCACACTACCCTACAACACTCCATGCTCCCACTGCAGCACCCTGAGCGGTGCCTACTCTGGCACTGCACACTTTCCTCCCTGTGAGCAGAGCTAGCCCACTCCTATGAACCTCCACCAAAAAGGACAGGCAGCTGCACTGGCTTTTCCGAATGGGAGTGTCCCACACATCCAGGTTCTGGGAGGCAGGGAAAACCCAGAGCAGCCAGGATTGGTGGCAGAGAAAAACAAACAAGCAGAGAGCTAAAAGGTGAGGGATGGATGCAGATAAAGAGGTAAGGAGATTGAAATACCAGGAAGAGAGGAAAACAAAAGCTAAGGGGTTTCACCTAGCCATAAACCATGCAGAATTATATTAAGGGCCACGAGCCCTGGCTCCTGCCATGCATAGTAGGATAAAACTCTAAAGCACTTCCTAAGGAGGCACATTTCCCTTTATCTTTAATAACAATTACTCAGACTTACCCAAGCTTCAGAAAAAGACCAAGTATTTGAAAACAAGAAACTCAAAGAACTGTGGCACATCAACAAAAGAATTGGAAGCTTTGCTTTCTTCTAACGAAATTCTAAAACTACAAGAGATCCAAAAAGCAGCACAAACATTTCAGATCTCAACGTTAAATCATACTGGTATTTAAATAGGATCTAGCATTCAGATTAACACCAGAGGACTCACAATTCAGGCAGCTAAAAGCCAGCCATTCTTTATATACCCTCATGATGGGTACAAAAAAATGCAAGACACATTAAAAAAAAAAAACAAAAACCAATAGCTTAAAATATTACATTCAGTGCTCTAGGGCTTCAGCCAAACCGATACACTAAATAAATATTTAAACTTCCCATTTGCAACATAGCATCTGCTAATTGTAATACTAAATCATTGTCCAATAATTTTCTGATTACACAGAATAAAAAGAGCAGTGGTGACAAATATGCACAATAAACCTCAGAATGATTCTGAGTGTTCAATAGTTCAGCCCTCCCACGACCTATTTTTGGAAGTTGAAATGTGAATACTATTAAACCAAAGGAGAAACAACTGGCAAGATACCATATAGAATGGTGATCTCAAAGACTACTGGGAATTTCCTTCCTGCATCCTGCAGCACAGTGTGGAAGCACCCAAGGTAGCTGAAGAACAAAAAGCAGCCTAGCAACGTAATGCAAACGTCATGAGAAATATTTTACCACTCTTTCTACCAGCTAGTAAAACAGAGAGTAAATCAGTCACTTCTGGAGCTGAATGCTTCCAATATCTGAGTTAGCCTAGGTTTCTGTGTATCATGTCACATATGGCTTTCATAAAGGTCAAAAGGACAACCATTTGCTTTCAAGTTGCAAAATGTAATTCAAATTATGCCTTATACTGCAGTGCCTTCCTACAGATACACATAATACCCATCACTCTGAAGATATTTTATACGAGCATAAACTAGTGAGAAGTTAACTAATCTATAAACACCGTCACCCAAAAAAGTAAACTTTTGTAGCAGAATTTTCATGTTATGAAATAATTCTATCTGGAGAAGTCATGGAAAAAAAACAAAGATCCTGAACGAAAGTACTGAAATCAGAACTAAGTGAGTTCTGTTCATATCATTTCCCAATTCAAATCAAGAGGCAGACAGTGAGAACCACACTAACAAGTTATAGAAGTTTCTTCATCTTCTTGCAAAGTTAAACACCAGCGTGAGTCATATGAGCACAAGCTAAAAAGGCCTCTAAAAGCAAAAAAGACTCACCAAGTTCACTGAGACTCTGGGCAGCTTTTGTTATCTCCCTGCTTCCCCCTTGTAGTTGTCCTTGAAGTCTTTTACTGAGATGCAAGATGCGTATTATCCTCCGCAGCAAGTCACAGGCAGCCTATGGAGAAATCACAGCATTAGGGGATATTACCAGCACACTCTGATCTCATAATTTTAGGCTTCTAATATGGAAACATTAAGCAAAGGAAACACAAATTTGAATAAAAACAAGGAACTTTAGAATACAAAAAGCCTGTTTTTAAGGACCTTTTTTCATTATCTAATGCAATACAGGCAGATAACATCAAAAGCTGGAAATTACATTTCCTGGGCTAAGATTATGCTGCCATTACTAGCAGCTCCTTCCCCCTCAAAAAAAAAAAGAAAAAAGAAAAAGAGACAAACTCAGAACCCTATGAGAGTGACATGTTCTATTTCCAAGCAGAAGTGAGCTTCATTTTGCATTATGCAGCTCCCCGCAGTAGTTCTCTCATCTCTAAGCTTTAGTAAAATTAAGAAGTTGCCTTTGTCAATTAAGTATTGATCCAAAGTAAGTAAAACAGCAGACAACAATAAAAACTTAAGGGCTTAAAGTGTTATTTTACAGATATTGACTCTTATGGTAGGAATAGATAGAAAAATCCATTTTCATCAAAAATTTCATACGGCCATTTACCCACATTTATCAATCTGTCACTTCGTATTATTTGATAGGTTTGCAAAAGCACACCCCATTCTTGGCTAAAAATTAAGATGGATGCAAACACCAATTTTCAGGAAATATATCTGCATTGTATTTTCATTAGCACCAATTCAGAGCAAAGGTATTGCTGACAGCTGGATCAAACATATGACTTTCACCATTTTTCACTCAACTAAGACCTTCAAACATGTTTTCCTGCTCTACACAGTAAATGAACGGAGGCAGACAAGCAGTGAGTTACACCATGTGCACGGTGAGTGTTTCAAGCCTTACAGGGAAAGAGGGTTCTGATGATGGTGGGTATGAAGTGATGACAAGCTGCTATATAGGACAGATCCCCGAGCTGCTTCTGAGCTATACAACTCAGGTAATACTGATTTGAATTACTGTGTCATTTAAGCATAGCAAAAACAAGCTTCAGGACTGCCTGACATGCCCCAGTGGCAACTAAATGTGCTGGCATCGAAGTCTAGATGGCTTCAGTGCACGTTTTTCCCATAGTCCTTCAGAACTGCACCATAAGAGAAGTCCTAAAGATGCATACAGGTCTTCATTGAAAGAGACCAGCAATGAGAGAAGCTGTAGAATGAGCAGACAAAATGGACCCACCATATGGATGGGTCAGTGAGGTGAGGAGATGTGTGCTACAGGGGGAGCAATGTTACTTTAAAACATATCTCCAGCATCTGTAGTGAGACTAAAAGGTGGTAAATATGAAGTGTTGGATGAGTAAGACAGTTGTTAGGAGGTATTTTCCCGGCTGCTGAAGAGAAGGCCTCTTGAAAGGCCCTGTCTTATAAACAGAAAAATGAAATCATAAATTACTTAAAATATACACAAAAATATTTAGAATCTGACAGGCGTTAAGCCCTCACGTTTTGAAAACAATTGTTAAGTACACATAAGTCCCTTCAACCAACGTTTATTGGACCGCACAACCCGCCAAGGTCTACTGCATGTCAGCACAAACCAATGGAAATAACAAATTTCGTGTTTAACCCTTATTCAATATCTAGGCACAACAAAGAATATTACAAAGGCCCAGGGAGACGAATCACTGAAAGCACACTGACTCTCACTGCTGTTGGCACAATGCCGTGTATCACTAAGTACAAGTTCCCTAAGCCTTCCAGGATGACTGAGCCACATGATTTCTATTATCTTTAGTGAGAACCAAGTGGGGCTTATCCTGCTTTGGAGAGATTAATGTATCAGTTTTAATTAATGCATTCCTTTAATCAGAAAAAGTTTTGATTCACATATCACTTCCATGTCTCTGAACAAAACTTCTGCAAGACAAATCAAAAATAGCTCTTTATACAGTTCACTGTGCCTTGTCAGATGTGTTTAAAAACCATCTGGCTGTGGTGCTTGGGGACATGATTTAGCAGAGGGTTATTAGGGTAGTAGGGTTAGGTTGTGGTTGGACTCGATGATCTTTCAGGTCTTCTCCAACCTGAGCAATTCTATGATTACTACTTTGCCTTCAGATTTAATTTTCTCATCCAACTGTGTACCTCTGTCTAACTTTTTCCCTCGGACTTCACTTATCTTCTGAGAATCTCGTACTTCATATGCAAAAGACAAAAAAAATCCTCTTTTTTACTTCATTATTGTTTGTTATCTTCCATTCCAAGAAAAATAATGTAAAAGGACTGTCAAGCTGGATACAGGATAGGAAATGTTGCATTTAGATTCAAGAGCGAAAAAGAAAAAAAAAAAGATATCTTCCAAAGACGCTGAGGATGCACCCTTAACTTCACAGCCATCACTAATGAGCACACAGTGCTTTTACTGGCATTTTTGTGAATTATTCAACTTAATAAAACTCTCAAATCCTGTAGAAGTATGCAGTATATGAGGACTGTACAATGGAAATTTAACAGAATCTACCAGCAGAGCTGTTCACGAATGCTCGATCATCAACCCCTGACCACCTGCACCACAGAAGTCTGAATTAATTCAGGAAACAATCATTCCTGGAGTCAATACAGCATGCTTTTCTAAAGGAAATACTTCTATCCAAACACGAATTCCATGGTTAAAGCAAAACTTAGTTTGGAAAAAGCAGGGAGCAGCCCTGGTTAGTCCCAGGGCTTTTCATTAAGTTCAAAATCAAACAGGATTTTTCTGGAGATTACACGTTAGCTATCTGCTGAAATTTAAATCAGCAATAACAAAGACATTATTGCTGCAATTCAAACAAAAAGCCTCTTTTAATCTTAACTTAATTTTAGGAAATTATTGAGACAATTAGACCACTTGAAACTGCCAGTGCATAGCTCATATATGAAATTGCATAATGCAATGCAGACCATAATGCAAGTGAATGTATATGTAATGCAAGCCCAAAGAAAGGTGGGACAGTACACCATTTTAAGGCTACATGGACAATGATGTACTGTAGTACCAGCATGAATTCTGCTACTAGTAAACACTTCAAAGAGAGAATAGTTTTCTATTGCATAAATATTTTTTCTACTTTGTGGATTTTTTTTAATAAAAAGCTTTAAAGAAAATCAGATATTGTAGGAATTTCTAAACATGAAGATATCCAAAATTCAGAGGACATGCAGAAGCAGTTGGTTAGACAGAAATGCACAGAAAATAACCCTCTGAAGGACAAATTCTCTGTCTACATATTTCAGCTGTTAACTTATCCGTTTAGCTTGTGATACGGCATGGAAAGACTATGAATGTGCTCAGAAGAGGATAGGATGATTTAAAGCAGGAAGTAAGCTCTGTGAGTTTGCTGCTCCCCTGGGATGCCATGAAGCCATAAGAACAAAGCAAGACATAATGTACATAAGTATACAACAGAGATTTAGAATTCAAAACTAGATTTGTAGTTTGACAATGAATTTATAGAGAAAATGTTTATGAAAAAGCACGACTATATTAAAAACAATTAAGGATGGTGAAATCCAGCTTTATGCAAGCCAAATACTCCTTCAGTTTGTGAGCAGTCCCATAGCAATCAAAGAAGAAGCACTAAAGCAATACAATCATGAATACAAGAGGCCCTTAAACACCACACAAATCAGCAAAGGATAACTAGCAGCCCTACTTACTTTGACAGCACTGTCTTTTATCAGTCATTTATCTTTTTTTTTTTTTTTTAAACTTACTCTACTGACTGTACATCAGCTGATAAAATTAGCAGGTTTAACTGCCCGTGCTACATGTCCTGCATTTGGTACAGAAGTTAGCAATGTCACTTCATAATCCCTGCCACAACCAGGAAGCAAACTGTTTGCTGTGCTGATGCCCTTCCTTCCTGAACAAACAAGGCTGCCAGGTAAACAGACATAACAGCATCATAATGCACTCCTGTGTATCTGCCAACACAGGAGAGGACAGCAGCCCTCACGCTGCGAACTGTCACTAGCAGCAATGCTGCAGTGATCCTTCCTCTTTCTGTGCACAGCTAAGGCAGGTAGGGACATGAGGATGGGCAGCCCAGCAGGCTCCCTTTACCCTGCATCTCTTTTTTTTTTTTTTGGACTGACATTTGGGACAAGAAGACTCACAGCCCAGAAGAGTCAGATATTACAACTGCCCTGGCACAGGTTGACCAACAACCCCAGCCCTGGTGCGTGCTGCTTTTATACCACAGAAAAATCCATGCAAGACCAAACCCCTACTGCACCAAAGAGGAAGCAAAGCAAACCCAAGAAACACCTCCTAACCTCAGGGACTTCTGCAGTTTTACTTTACATAAGGTCAAAGAAGAAACAATCATCACCTTTCACTCCAAATTCCCATAGTTCTTCCCACAGCTGTAACCAGAGAAGAAAAAATAAAATCTGTACCTAGCCTGGCATGTGAAAGTCATGGAAATTTCACACAGTGGCAAAAACAGTGACAGCTGGAGCTGGGAAGCATAGGAGCAGCAGCTGAACAACCTGGCTGAACAGACTGGTAAGAGCTTCCTCCTGAACCTCACTACTACTGAAAATCAAATAGAAAATATCAGACCTCCACCCAAGAGTCCAGCACACTTACTTGCTCCTCAATTCCTGGACTAGAAACCATGTACACCTGATTGCAGCTTCATCTGCTTGTGCTCTACAAGCTAATGGCAACCTACTTGAGCAAAATCCACAGTTCAAATTTCAGCTACCACCAGGTAAGATCTTAGTTTTGCAACTTAAAATATTTTTTTCAAAGAGAAACAGTTCAAACAGTAGTTCTTTAAACCTTTCCTGATTTGGAGTTGTGTTGCTTTTGAATAAATAAACTCAACAGAATGCAGCTACATCCATGGGATCTGTGGGGCAGTTTTCAACCGCAATAAAGTTAAAAATAGAAGTGTTCAATGCTCATCTTACCATTGCTGGGAAAAAGCTCTCCCCCACTGCTCTTTAAAAGAAACTACATTCTCTGCAGACTCGGTTTAAAAGACAGGAGCAGCTGTATACCTGGGCTTATACACCAGAACTCCAGGTTGCAGCGTGGCTATATTGTAAGAATTATTCCCCAAACCCTTTACTAAACTGCAGTTAAACACATGTAGAGGAAAAGTGTCTCCTACAGAACTACATCATAAGATTAAAAATACCCAGACAGAAATGAAAATGTAATTAACTTGTACTCTGATAGCCTTTCACTTTCCCTCATCTGAAGGAATACTAAAGCAGCTAGTGCAAAGATCAGCTTTGCACTTTGCAATATGAAGCACCTCTCAGTAGCTCATGAGGAGACACATGAATATTGATTTTTACCAAGAAACACTGACAGCAAACTCCAGTCTACTGGAGTATGGAAATCCCACTCATGTCTGATGAGTCACCTTTTCTTAATGCTCTAGAGGGCTGGGAAATGAAACACTTTAAAATTGAGTTTTAAAACGTATTTCTAATACAACTTACCTGAAGCTTTGCTAGCTGAGCTGTGCGAGACACTATTTTGTTGTAGGGATCAACAATTTTGGCTCTAATTCTGAAAATAAGAAGTTTATTTATGGAAGTATTAATAAATAGCACAAGAGAACAAGTAAGCATGCAGACTTTCTATTCACATCATGAATGACATACCTATCAACAGTACTTTGTAGAGCACCAATTCTGGTCTGCATCATTTGGAGAACACCTGCAAAATACAGCAGATGTTTTACAAGTAACACTCATGATATAAAGAATACTTCTTTCTATAATTGGCATCTACAGAAGACTACTTCTGTATTAAAAGAAAAAACAACCCCCCTTTATAACAAAACGTTCAAAGATATTGAAATGATTGAGACACAGAGTATTTAGAAATAAACTGAGAAGGTAATAAGCAATTACTGACCACTACTACTACAAAAAAAAACAAAATCCTGCCGAAGATGCAATGTTCTGGAATTGATCATATGTTAAGCTTCCCATAATATCTACAGTAATGCTGTTTTCTAAAAGAATGATGATCAGGACTGATGTTCAAAGGCATATAACCCGATACAAACACCTCAGCATGATATAAAAAAGCACCACAACTTATTTAACAAGGGAACTACGCAGATCAGAGAAACCAGCAGGCACAGAGAAGTGAGAAGCAATGCCATTTCAAGGTTTTCTTCCTGTGCATAAGCACCTTTAGCAAAGAAGTAAGGTATGTCATTGGGAAATCATCTAATTTAGATTACAAACAGAGCAAGCTACACCAATCTTGTTTGTTCCAGATTAGTTTGGAAAAGCAGCACAAAGGGGAACCCACAAGCACAGTCGTTCTTTCCTTGCTAAATTGCAAACAAAGCAGTCAAGGGTAATAGTCACTTTTGCAATACAGAATCAGCCTGCTGAGAATTTAATTAAGTTACACAAACACAGACCTATGAATTTATTTTTGTTTCAATTCTTGTTAGCACTCTCAAACATCCTGTTTCTGTAAAGCCTTCATCAAATTGAACAAAACTATCATATGATACAGAAAGACAGAATTATTAACTTGGTTTATTGATAGATTCAGGAGTCCTATTATATTTATAAATGGAATGGCAGGCATGTAATCCTCATGGATAAAAAGATGAAGATATGAAAGACAGAGAAAAGATGTCACAGTGGGCTGAATTTTCTACTCTACACTCAAAAAGGGGACAGCAAGTACCACGACACTGCTACATCTATGTTGCACCCTTGACAGCAATGTAACATTCCTCTTGCCAAAAGGCACTGTTAGGATGGCTGAAAAGGTGATCTACGCTCTGTGTCTGCTACATGAGATACTACCTAACCTATCCCAAGCTAGCAGGTGATTGAAGATGTCTGGTGAGCTGCTTATAGAAACACAACCAGAAAAGAGTATTTATACCAAAGCAGGGTACCATTAGCAGAGTGTACAGATCTAAAGGAAGAAAAGAAGTTCCTGGGAATTTACTCAACAAGTTTGGTTAACTAATTTGAAATCTTTAGAGATTCACATATCCAAATGACTATGCATGCTGTGAGTTATGCCAAGAAAGTAAGCAGATGAAGATTACTAAACTAAGCACATGAAGACACTCTGAGCTCCATATTTCTAACTTCATAATTAAATTTCCTATTAACATTTCTCTTTTCTTTTACTTATGGATATTGATATTGATATAATATTGACTCATTGTTTCTACAGTGACCATATTACAGTGACCACGTGTAGCCCGAACACCACAGAGAGAAGCAGGTTTTGCAATACTTAAAATATCATCTGTGTTTGCATAGAACTGTGGTTTCAACTGATGCCTTAAGTGTCAAAAAAATGTCAGGGTGAGAGCCCTCCATGTTTCTCTTTCAGAAGAGAAGGGACCTCTTATGGAGAATAACACTGCATCAGTGGAAAACAATCAAGAATTCTTATGCAGATTCCATTTTATTTCAACTTTTGTTTATCGGCTTTATGCTAAATAATGCTTTATTTATTACACTTCACCCACAGAAATATTTTAATTCTGAATAGCTGTTTTGAAGTACTTCACTCTTGCTTCAGAGCAGTTTTAAGCAGGAATGCCATCTGAAAGAATCATGATTTCTGAACACAGAGTTCCACAGAACTGTGGAAAATGATCAGAATAAACAGGGAGATGATCATTATGTAGATAATTGATTCCTTGTCTGGAGGATAAACAGATTTCACACTTCCTATGCTTTAATTTTCCAACTGTTTAAAAAAATATTTGAGGATTATCACTGCTAGATTAAATATGCATTTTCTCTATTTTTAAATCTTCATGTAAATGTACGCAATACTTCACAAAGGCTTGGGAGGTACAATAACCATCAGCAACCAGAAACTCTCTGGTTATGACATAACTTAAAAGCAGAAGAAGGAAGAAAGGTGGGTTACTTGATTACTAGAGTAGGTGGGGAAGGAGATATGCTTGAATCCCATGGTACATGCAAACAGGCATACTGTAAAGGAAATATCTTTCTGCACAAAAACAAAACAAAAGCTACCAACTCCCACATATGAAGTTCCCAACAAGTGTCACAAAGCAGAATGGCTGGTCTAATGAGCATCAAGGAGAAGAACCATATTCCGTAATCAGTTTTCTGTACACATTTCACAGTTTCTAAGTGAAGTATTTACAAGTCAGCAATTTATTTTAAAAGTCAGAACCCAATCAGTGGAATGACAGAAGTGTATGGATTTAATCTAGTAGCTTCTTACTAGAAAGAAAAATCTCAGTGTTCCAGTGCAGTTATGATTACGTGTTAATGCCTCTTCAGTTAAGATCTGCAAACCATGCAACATGCACATGCAGAATTTACAAACTTGGTACTGATGTTCACAGATACTGCAATAAAATTAGGCTTATTTATTAAAAAAAGGTATTAAAAGGTTAATAACACTTGATTGCTAAAGTTGCTTAGAACAGATTATTAAGTTTTTTGCCTATGGAATAGTTACTCCAGAGAAATATCAGTCAAATCTTCTCCCAGGAGCTCCATCTGCTGACGTAAAAAAAAAAAAAAAAAAGCTGCCATAACTTCTCAGTTGTAAGATCTGCAGCTGCTTCATTATTAACCAAAGTGAATGACCTTCCCACGTAACAACTAAAAATGCTCCCCTGTTCATAGAAATCAGTGAGCATTCAGCAGATGGATCTCACCTTCTAGGGATTCAATTCCAGTTGCTTGAGCCAACAGATCTTCATGTCTTGCAACAACCTTTAAAAACAAAAGAGAGAGAAAAAATAGAAACAATGACATAAGAACAGAGATGTGTGCCTGAAAGGGGTATCAAAATATTATCATCATATTTCCTTAAACAGATGCAGAAAAAAGCAGATGAAAGGATTTTCAGAACTGTTTTGATTCACAAAATGGTAAGCTCAAAATGGGAGAGTCAGATATTGCAGCATAGTTGATGTATTAATATAAGTCAGAAAAACAATCAATCATGTTTCAACACACACTGATATCTAACAATAACTGTAAGTGTAAGCTTAATAATAACACAGTAATAACGTATATTCCCATTTTTAATGTTTTCATTTGTATTTATGACATTTAGAAACTAACTTCCGAAGAATTTACCATTGCAGGGGGAGCAGTTTTTCTAACCAAACACAAATGTATCACGCACACTCACAGCCTGGTCGATGGGATTTGCAGTGTCCATTTGGATTTTATCACTCAGCCTTTGACTATCCAAACTTAAATTCCTTTTGAAGGCGTGGAGGTGTATTAGCACAGGTTGTGTTTGCCCAGTTAAAATTAGGGACTAAATCCCAGGCTACTAACCAGCACAGGACAAGTCGTGCACTGTCTTTTCACAACCATCATGCCAAAAGACAGGGAAGTTTTTCTGATAGCCCATATGATCTTTTGGAGACAGTCAGGGAACCCTTACAAGGAATAGCGGAACCTCCAAGCACAGAGACTGAGTGCAGACACTGAAAGCAAAACAGCTTACAGCTCCTTGAGGGGGACTACATGGAGTTAGTATCACATGCACCGCTCTTTTTACTCCAAGCTGTACCTTCAGTTACCAAGCAACGTCAAAAGCAAAGATCATTGGACTAATCAGCTTTTAATCACTTTATCGACCACCCCTGAGCACCAGGCATGCTTTACACTTACTTGTACGTGAAGCTCTTTATCCAGCTGGCTGATACCTTGGGCAAGCTTTGCGAGCTGCTCAGCTATCACCGCCTGATGGATCGACTGCGACGTGTAAGCTTTCACATCAAAGTCCTCTCTGAAGAAGTCAGCATAACACTCTGAAAAACGATTCAGATGTTATCTTCACACTTCAAACCAGTCGCACCGAGGGACGATCTACAGCAGGCAGCGCTCAGACCGCCGGTTCCTCCAGCTGGAACAGCGCACATCCCGTACCCGCGCAACGCGGCACGGGAGGCCGGTCTGAGAACAGACTGCAATCAAAGCGAGTCCGCGCGGCAAAACCCGCAACTTCATGGAACCGTACCGCGTCTTACAACGGGGCCAACTTGTGCTGCGTAAGGAAACTATACTTCGGTGGTGACTTTCAACGAAGTAAGACGCGTGCTACTTTGTGCAAAGGGCAGGTTAGGCTCACTGACACCTGCGTGCCTCCCGCCGGCACACATCTCCCCTCAGGAGCGGCTGACGCGGGCAGCGGACTGCAGCTGGGCAGCACAGCGCAGGAGCGGGGCCCGCCATCCCGCTCCCCTCCGCCCCACAAACTTTCTGCGACGCGACACCTCGGAGGCCCAATGCCCCGCTCGTCCCGGCCTCCGACCGCCACCAGGACCGCGCCTCACCGTCCGCCTGCAGCTCTGCCAGCGCCGGGGCCGGTGCTCCACCGCCCGCTTCCTCCATGCCGCCCGATGGAGCCTGCCGCGCGTCACTGCCCGGCGGCGGCGCGCGGCGATGATGGCAAAGAGAGCGACGGGGCGGGGCAGGACGCGGCGGGGCTGTGAGGGGAGCTTGCTATACATGAGCGGGGACGTGGCAGAACGCGAACGACGGTCGGCGACGGACCCGGCGGGCCTTTTTCGGGCTGGGCACGTGGTGAAGATGTGTGCCCCGATGGTCCGCTACTCCAAGTGAGTCACTGCTGGCGGCGCGCGTGCTGTGGGGCGAGCGGTGTGACGGGACGGCGGGCGGGCGGGTGGGTGGGACGGAGCCTTTGGGGTTGTTCAAGGGCGCGACGGACGCGGACGCGTTTGATTATGGTTCTATTTACACAGCCCCGCAGCGCTGCGTTTAAGAGCGGCGCTTCAGAGCGGCTCACGAGGCGAATGTCCGCTCTGTGTGGCCGTGCTGTCCCTGTCCCCGCAGGCTGGCGTTCCGCACTCTGGTCCGGCGGTACGGCTGCGAGCTGTGCTACACCCCCATGGTTGTGGCGGCCGACTTCGTGAGGTCAGCCAAAGCCAGGGACAGCGAGTTCACAACAAACAGAGGTAATGCTGGGAAATACACTGCTGCCTTCTTGGAATGTTTTATGTATCCTGGCTTGTATCAGAAATAATCCAGCCAGCAGGACAGGTGGGTGATCATCCCTCAGCAATTGGCATTGGTGCTGCACCTGTTCAGTTGTGGGATTCTCACTACAAGACAGACATGGAGGCCCTGCAGTGTGTCCAGAGAAGGGCAGCAGAGCTGTGAGGGGTGTGGAGCACAGGAGTGATGGGGAGCGGCTGAGGGAACTGGGATGGGTCAGTATGGAGAAGAGGAGGCTCAGGGGAGGCCTTATTGCTCTCTATAACCGCCTGAAAGGAGGTTGTGAGGAGGTGGGGGTCAGCCTCTGCTCCCATGTAACAGTAGCAGAATGAGAGGGAGCAGCCTTAAGTTGTGCCAAGGAGGGTTCAGTTTTGATATTAGGAGAAATTTCTTCTCGTGCCAAAGCACTGAAACAGATTACACATTTTCCACACCCCAAACTACTTCATCTTCCCTCACCACTGCAGTTTTATTGCTGAGCATGGCATTACATGATATGAAATATTCCTTTGGCCAGGTCTAGACCTGTCCACTCCCAGTTCCTTGCCCACCTCTGACCTATTTGCTGGGGGGAAATAAGTACACAGGTAAAAAATTAGTTTTGAACTGCCATCGCTGTTCAGCAAAAGTGGAAGTACTGTTGTATTATCAACAATGTTTTTTGCCACAAAACTCAAAACACAGTACTATATAAGCTGCTGTAAATAAGGTTACTTGCATCCCAGCCAGACCCAATAAAAGATCATCATAGAATCAAAGAATGGTTTGGGCTAGAAGGGACCCTTAAGATCAGCTAGTTCTAACCTCCTGCTGTAGACAGGAACACCTCCCTGTAGACCACGTTGCTCAAAGCCCCACCCAGCCTGGCCTTGAATGCATTCGCAGCCTCCCTGGGCAACCAGTTCCAGTGTCTCACCACCCTCACAGTAAAGAATTTCTTCCTAATATCTAGTCTAAATCTACCCTCTTCCAGAGTAAAACCATTTCCTCTTGTCCTGTCACTTCCTGCCCTGATAAAAAGTTCCTCCTCAGCTTTCATCTAGGCTCCTTTCAGCTACTGGAAGGCTGCTATAAGGTCTCCTCAGAGCCTTCTCTTCTACAGTCTAAAGAGCCCCAGCTTTCTCATCCTGTCCTTGCAGGGGAGGTGCTCCAGCTCTCTGATTATCTTTGTGGTCCTCCTCTGGACTGTTCCAAGAGCTCCACGTCTTTGTGTCATGGGCTCCAGAACTGGATGCAGTACTCCAGATGGTGTCTCACAAGAGCAGAGTAGAAGGGCAGAATCGCCTCTCTTTCCCTGCTGATCATGCTTCTCTTAATGCAACCAAAGATATGGTTGGCCTTCTGTCTGCTCATAAGGCTCATAAGGTTCTAATGCCAGCAGTTGCTGCTTCTTGTATATATCAGAGATGTATGCTTAACCCATTACCAGATATTTTCTGATTTCTAACAAAAATAAGAGGGTTTGTAAAGGGGAAAAGATGAATATATCAGACATATAATATGGGGATTGATAAGAGAAACAGAATTTTAAATTATCAGGTGGTAAAATGGAAGGTGGGCTCCTTGAGATCTCAGAAGACTGATAGAAGGAGCAAAGGGAGTCCAGAGAATAGAAGCACAACCAGGATTCGTAATGGGAAGCCAGGCTTCAGACACGATATAGAAAGGTAACCTGAACAGACTAAATATATATATATTATATGTTATTATTATATATTTTATAAATATATGTGTGTATATATATATAAGGAGCAATACAGAGCCCTGGCTAGGTAAGGGAGAAAAGTAGTATAGAATAAAATCACAGAATATCTCAAGTTAGAAAGAAGCCATAAGGACCATTGAGTCCAACTTCTGGCTACACACAACACCACCTGAAAATCTGACCATAAATATATGGGAAGAGATAACAGTACGGATACAGATCAGCTGGCATGAAGTGGTTGTAGGAGAGAAGTGGAACAAGGAACACATAAGCTTGGGCTACAACTAGAGGAATGGAGAAAGCACTGCTAAAATGCTAGTAGGATTGGCCTGTAGGATCTGCAGAAGGTAACGATTTCATCTGTTCATGCCACTCAGTGAATGGTTTTGTAAGTGTATATGTAATAGTAGTAGAACTGTAATCTGTGATTTCATGCATTATTTCAATACAACAGGTCATTTATAGAAAAGAATCCCATTGGGAAGCACAGGTAGACTCTTATTAATGGAGTGCAACTTAGAAGAAAGCTTTAATTTTTTTTGTTATTCAAAATAAACAAATAAGAACATAACTGATATATACGGCTCAGAGGTCCGCAGAGCCACTGTTCCACCCTTTGCATCTGTTTATACTTTTGATCTTCACAATGTCCTGTAAAGTTCTATGGATTGGCTTTTGGCAATAATGGAATGGGGAAAGAGGAAATTCTCACTGTTTGCTGTAATCTTGTCGCCTGTTGACAAGGAGCGCAGGATGAAATGTTCTAGTATTGTAAGTAACATCTTTTCCCTACTCACCTCTTCTATGCTGGCCTTAATTTTACAGCCTCCAAAACCATTCTCCCTCTAACAGCTTAGCCAGAATAACAGTATTTACATTATTAGCATTCATGCTTTTAACAAATAGCTCCATAACTGATTGTAAAATCTTAATATTGATTTGTTTAATTTTCTGGGCATTTTTTACTCTAATGAGCAGAGTAGGTTTGGAGCCTGCAATTGTAATTTTTGCTCTGTTTTTTTGCATTGACATTTGGCATTGACATTTCTTTGCTGTGTATTTCTAAAATAGTGGTAGATGTTCCCTGTGGCTGCTGCTAAGAATTTAATTATTATTTGATTTAGCATTTTTATTACTTAGCTGAAAAACGAGGAGCCTGGGATTATCCAGTATATTAGCTGTATCAATTTAAATCTTTTCAGTTAGAGCACTGTCTAAATGGACACTGTTTTGAAAATACAAAAGGGATTTTTTGTGGCATGCTAGAGTTTTAAGTAACTTACAGAAGTTTCTTAACAGAGGATACTGCTGCCATTTCTGACTTCAGTTCCATTACTTCAAGAATTCTGTAATTTCCACTAAGACAGGAAATGTTCAGAAGCATTTGCGGTCTGTTCTGTACTGGAGGTACACGTGCTGTGTGCATTTGTTGGCTCTTTTCTTTCCATTGGTGCTCAGATATTTTTCTTACCCTGTTCTCCATCCCTCTTAACTGCAGCAATCATTTATTTGGAAAGTAACTGCTAATACTGAGATATTTTTAGATGCCTTTAATGTAATGCAGTAGGTGTCAAAGAGGAGAGCCTGTTCCAAATGACCATCTGGCTCTCTGCAGGAGCTTCGTAGATCACAAATAGTTCACCAGGCCCACTCTGAGGAGCACTGATGCTTTGGTTTCCTATGAGAGAAAAATCTGTGAAAGCTGCCTCTGCTTATGTGTTCTCATTCCAGCTCTGCATACTGGACAAAACCCAGCCATGTTGGCATTGAAGCAAAAAGGGATCTGGAATAAGGAAGGGTAGAGTTTGTAGCTACTGAAAGCTGCCTCGGTAGTACGCTTAGTTTTCTGGTTCTTTAACAGCTTTTTCTGAGTCTGGACTTTCTGGAATATCAGCATGATCTGTGCCTTACATTTATGTCCTACTTCAGGAAGCTAAATTCTCTTGCCTTTTTTTTTCTTTTTCTCTTAGAGCCTCCCTTTGGTTTGCTTAGTAATGTTATTCCTGTAAGACATCTTTTCTTCCCTCATTGTTGCTGTATTTTCACCATAGATTACTACATTAGTTAGAAACAAGGACACTAGAAATCTTTGTTAATGATTATGTGTCATACACAGCTATAGCAAAACACAGCAGTCTGTAAGCAGCCTGATACAACTGTGGAACAGATCATGTTTGAAGTGTAATTCTCTTCAACAGGAAATGCTTTTTAGCAGCTCCAGAAAATAGGTGTTTTCAGCAAGACAAGCAAGTAATCATACTTTCAGCACAGTGTTCTGGTTTCATAAAGATTTTCATGTAAACAGGAGATTTATTTCAATAAGTTAAAAATAAATAATCTTTAAAATCCTATGTAGAGAAGGGAGACTTCTCAAAGCTACAGCTATAGTCAAAAGGAAGAGTTTGAGAGTTGATGTAGCACAGTGGTGAGCGATGAGAAAGTTTGCATTGGCCTATTCACAGGCAATGACATAGCACGAGGAGGCCTCTGGCAAGGCTCTGGCAGTGTTGTAGTCAGTTACAACAGAGTTCCTGTATCATATCCTGCCTGGGAAGGGAGGGGTGTCTAGATTTGCAAATCCTTCTGGTTTGATCAAGGTGAAACAACACCCAAGGTCTGTGCATAAGAGGAAAAGACATAAGCTGTAATAGGAGATACCCATAAAACAGTTATCCTGCATGCATTGGCTCTCCCGCAATTC